CGTTCAATTCCCAGCATCCCATGTGGTCCCCTGAGCACCACCAGGAGTATTCCTGAGTGTATGAGCCAGGAAGAACCCTTATGTATTGCCAGGTGTGACCCAAAAAGAAAAAATAAAGAATCACAGACGCTGTCTCATTTGCCAAGGCGTCGAAAATCAGATGGGCTGAACACGTAATGAGATTTGGAGATGACTGCTGGACTAGAGCCATTACCGACTGGATTCCACAGGACATCAAAAGATTGCATGGCCGCCCACCTACGAGATGGTGAGACTTCTTCGTCAAGACCCTGAACGATCGGTATGAGGCTCTTTATGTTCCTAGAGCAAGCAGATGCCATTGGGCTACGCTAGCACGCAACAGGGATAAATGGAGATGCTACTGGCGCCCACTCGAGCAAATGATGAGTAACGGGATGTCAAGTGATCAAGTGATATATACAGTTACCAGGAAAAATGAAGTCATGAAATTCACTTATAAATGGATGGATATGGAGAGTATCATTTCAAATAAAGGAAATGAATCAGAGGGAGAGGGACAGACACAGAATAATCGAACTCATTTGTGTGGGATATAAAAAAACAAACATAATATTTGAATAATACTCAAAGAAAGTAGAAACAAAGAGAACTAGTTCATGACTGGGAGTTTGCAATAAGTGGTGGGGGGGAGGGCAGTTAGGAGAGAGAAGGGACCACAATGATAGTTGGAAATGATCACTCTGGATAAGACTCAGTACTGAAAGTAGTAAAGCAACAAATAGGATAAACTTTCAGTACCTGTACTGCAAACCATAATGTCCCAAAGGAAACAGCAAGCAAGAAACAGAGAGAGAAAGAAGAAAAATGCCTGCCATAGAGGCAGGAGGCGGGCGGGGGGTGTGGGGGCAATTGAGGGATGGCAGAAGGGAAACTGGAGGCATTAGTGGTGGGAAATGTAGACTGACCAAGGGTCATGGTGGAACTCAGGGGACCATACGGGGTGCCAGGGATCACACCTGACTGGTCATTTGCAAGACAAGTGGCCTCCAGAAAGTGATTATTTTTATTCTCATGTCAGAAAGAGTCAGAAGTTCTTTTTGCCATGTGGTATTAATACCAATTCCATCTCATTTTTTAGGATAGTTCAAACCGGTGATTGGTGATCTCAACTGGACTAAGTAATGCCAGCCAGACTCTGAACACAATACAAGGCGCAATACAATTCCATCAAACATGACACCAAATGTTAACAATTTGCCATCAAATGAAAATATTCCATGAGCTCTCTTGAGAGGAATCTAGTACACAGTGGCTTGTGATTGACTTGAGCACTACACTGTGTTTTATGCATGCCACTGCAAAAATAAATTTTAAAAATACTATTTCCAAATACAATGTCTAACTTAATACAAACATACACATTTATATATGTACTAATAGTATTTTTATTGGTAATTAACCCAGGATGTTAGGTAGCACATTTACACAAAAGTGAATAAAGAAAACTTAATTTTAGGTATTTTCTTGTGCTATTATAGGCTAAGACTCAGAGACTATAAAATCCAGATCCCGGACGAGAACAGTACAGTCTTCTGCCCCCGCGCCTGGGTGTTCCTCGCCAGGGCCCCTTGGAGGGGAGCGGGTTGAGCTTCCCTCCCCGCCCCAACCAGGGCTCCAGCAGCCGAAGACCTCCAGGACCAGCCACCACCATGCTGAGACCACTCTCCGCACACATGAAGGTACTGGCAGAGGGACAAAGCCACGCGGGTTCCGGGGCCGAGACCTCCAAGCCTACTCGGATCTTCCACCCAGATCCTCCAAATTCCACTAGGCAGGGGTCACACCCACCACCTGGCCCCCTGGCGCCGTGTAATCCCATCAGCGGCCAAGACTCAGAGACTATAAAATCCAGATCCCAGAACCGCGCGGCCGCATTTGCGACCGCGCGACATCTTATAAGAACTTTTTTTTTTAATGACATCTTATTGTCTCATTCCTACTTTGGACAAACTTGCAGGCTATCGAATGTAGCCTGCCCACAGGGCAGAGTCTGGCAAACTCCCCGTGGCATACCAAATATGCCAAATACCAGTAACAATGATGGGTCTCATTCTCCTAAAGAGCCTTGAATATAATCTCAGGGCTAGGATGAAAGAGACGTTACTGGGGCCTGCTCGAGGCAATCGACGAATAACAGGATAATGAAATGAAAATGAAATGAAATTATAGGCTACATGAATGACAAGTACCAGCAAAAGCAAGAGTTCTCAATGTTTTAATCAACTTAATTTTGGACAATTTGAATGTATTACTCATTTCAAATTTTTTAAGGTAAAAAAATTAAGTCACAAAAAATGTATGCAGTAGTGACAGCTTCTCCTTCATAGTAACGATGACTGGTAACTAGAATATTCCTGAAGAGAAGCCAGGTATTTTAAATGTTCCACTTTCCCAGCCTAGAACAGGGGCTGGCACATTAAATGTGGAATGATACAAGCACAATTAGCCTATCAGAAGTTAAGTCTTGGGGACAGAGAGATGGTGTGGCAGGTAGTATGTCTGCCTTGCATGTAGCCGAACCCAGGGTCTGCTCAGCCAGGAGTGATCCCTGAGTACTGAGCCAGGAGTAAGCCCTGAGCACTACCGAGTGTGGCAAAACAAAAAAAAAAGTCAAGTCTTTAAAATTTCCACAAATCACAAAATCACAAATCATCCTGTTATTCGTCGATTGCCTCGAGCAGGCCCCAGTAACGTCTCCTTCATCCTAGCCCTGAGATTATATTCAAGGCTCTTTAGGAGAATGAGACCCATCAGTGTTACTGGTATTTGGCATATTGGGTATGCCAAGGGGAGTTTGCCAAACTCTGCCGTGTGGGCAGGCTACATTCGGTAGCCTGCCAGTTTGTCCAAATTTCCACAACTCAGATAAAGTAATAACTTCCACACAAGGCTAGAAGAGAGCATAAATGAAAGCATGAAATTGTGTGGAGGGACTGGAGAGATAGTACAGCTGGTAAAGTGGTTCCCTTGCATGCGGCCACCCCAGATTTGACCCCCAGCATCTCATATGGTCCGTTGAGCACTGCCAGGAGTAATCCCTGAGCAAAGTCCAATGTGGCCCCAAAACAAAACAAAACAACAACAACAAAGACATTGTGTGGAAGGTCACTGTCACTGTCACTTTTCTCCCATTGTTTATCAATTTGCTCGAGTGGGCCCAGTAACGTGTCCATTGTGACATTTGTTACTGTGTTTGGCATACACTACCCGGGTGACCCAGGTTCGATTCCTCTGACCCTCTTGGAGAGCCCAGCAAGCTACTAAGAGTATCTCGCCCGCACGGCAAAAACTGGCAAGCTACCTGTGATTTGAGGAAGGTAAGATGAGAAAAGAGTCTTTGTTTTATAAAAATTCTTAATTATTTCTTATACTAATGGCTACATTTTAACAGTAAAGAACAAAATGTTCTTACATTAAATCTTCCCCTGGTGAGTGAAACTAGACGGAAAGCTAAAATATGACAAGCTGCTGATAATCAATGTCATTAAAGATTCCAGTAATAAATAATTAATGCAAAATTTCAATTTAAGGCTCGGAGATAGTATCCCTAAGCATGGTCCTTCGCTGTAGCACTACCAGGTTGAGCAAAGACTAGTCGCATCCAAACAACCAGGCAGCACCTCTGAGAGAGGCCCTATCGAGAGCTCTAACTGTATTATATTAACAAACATAAATGTATTTACCTTAAAATACATGTCTATTTCATTATTATAACTTTTTATTTAAAGTATAGTATTAAATGAAACAATGCAGAAAATGTTCAGTTCAGTTCTCTCAATAAAATGCATACTGCAACCAGGATATTTCAGGTACAGAATATTTCAGGTACAGAGGTTCTACTTCATTCTGGAATGTTTTTCTCAGCATTTGTTTCTATCCCTGAGTCAGTAGACAATCCTACTTTTTTCTTATTCATCAAATGCTGCAGTGAACTTGCCTAACATTCTGAAACGAAAACTGCTGCTCTATAGAAAAAAAAAATTTACTGGCCTATTATATTGTTGCAAGGTCAAATAGGTGTTCAAAACCACAAGAATTCTTCTCAGTGCAGTTAATAATGTCTACAACATAAGGCTTAAATTGTCTGACTATAGAACTTATTACAGCAGTGACACAAACCTTAAGAGAGCAGGGATATTATTCTATTACCTTCAAATCATGTACTGTCTCAAGGGCATATTGCAGGGATTTATTTAAACATATAAACTTGTTTTATTTCCGGAACTGACTCAATTAGTTAAAAGTCCTCTTAAATGGAAGGAAACCTGAGTTAGGTTATATCCTTAAAAACTAGTTCTTACACAAAAGATCCATTAGCCAAGTGAACAATAAATGGCCAAAGTCATTCAGAACTGGAGATTTCCATAAAACTGAGCATAATGGGAGGGGACTGTGGGACACTGGTGGTGAGACGTGAACACTCTGGTGATGGGTGTGGATTTAAAAGGATGTATGTTTGAAAAATACAATTATCAATACTATAAAAATCTTGGTACTGTAATAAAAGGGTTATTGTCACTCTCACTGCCCTTCCGTTGTTCATCAATTTGCTCTAGCGGGCCCAGGAACATTGTGACACTTGTTACTGTTTCTGGCATATTGAACATGTCACGGGTAGCTTGCCAAGCTCTGCCGTGCAGGTGAGATATTCTCGGTAGCTTGCCAGGCTCTCCGAGAAGGGCGGAGGAATCGAAGTAGGGTCGTCCATGTTGGCTGCGTGCAAGGCAAACGCCCTACCCGCTCCAGCCCAATAAAAGGGTCAAAAAAATTTAATTTTAAAATTTTAAAAACAAAAACCAACAAATACACTAGCAGAAGGTAGGGGAAACAGATAAAATAAATAATAGCTACCAAAAAAGTGTTACAGTAAATAAAATACATAGTTATTAATGAATATTTTCATATATTTAGGAACATATTAAGTTTTACTCAATATTAAGTCAAAATGGAAAGCTTACCCGGTGTTTTGCCTTAATTTTCTTTCTATATTCTTCTTTGTCAAATTTGTCCTCTTCTTGAAGCCTTTCTTTTGCTTTATCTAAGTTGATACCTCCAGCACTGTCTTCTTCCTCAGAATCCTTCAAGACAGATTTCTGCATCTGTGGCCACTGCTGAATTAACTGTAGATTGAGAAATGGTACAGTGTGGAATGTGAGATAGGAAAATGAGAAACTTTCTAGCAAATCTCATTATCAAATGAGCAAGCCACAGAAAAGACCATCCCAGTCAGGATAAAACAACACCACCATGACCCAGTGAGAGAAGGACAAAGGAGTACCTCACAAAATAATGCGGAAAAGCTGACTCAAGGTCAGCTCCAACAGTGTTCACAATCTGTCCTCCACTGATTCAGCTCCAAATGTCCATGCAGAATAAGCCAGTCGACCAGTCAGGCCCCAGTGATAATACACATGGTCGGACAATTAACACTTCTCTCACTTATGGTGTGGTTTTACTTTCCTATTTTTCTGACTAGAGTTAATCTCCTTGATGGTTTTTTTCCTATACCCTCACACTGGCACATTTTAGGTGCTAAAAAAAAAAATCAATGAATAGATAATTTATCAGCTCATACTACCCACAGGAACAGAAATAATTCGGTGGTTAAAAAAATTAATTTTCAAAGGTCTGCTCAAGTCCAAGTCCACACAACTTTACACCTTCAGTTTACATCTAGGTGGCTTTAAAGATATGGCACCCATGCAGGGGTCAAGGTCCCTGGTTAAATGCCCTGTTCTGTTCACCAGCCCACTATGTAATCCTAAATAAATAACTTAATATCAGGACATCCAAGTCTCTTCTTTAAAAGTTATCTTTTGACACTGAACATCTAAGTTTCTTCTTAAAAAATGATCTTCTATGGGGGGTGGAGTGATAGCACAGCAGGTAGGGCGTTTGCCTTGCACGCCAACCCGGGTTCGATTCCCAGCATCCCATATGGTCCCCTGAGCACCACCAGGAGTAACTCCTGAGCGCAGAACCAGGAGTAACCCCTGAGCATCACCAGGTGTGAACCCAAAAAGCAAAAAAAAAAGCAAAAAAAAATCTTCTAAAATACTGTAAAATTTTATCAATTTAGACAAAAATTATTGCTTTTAAACTCAGTAATTGTTACCTGATAGATTTAAGTAGACTGATTGAAACAGTTGCCATTGTTTTTAAAAGCTCACTAATTAATCAGCAGGCCAATGGAAGATGCAGACATATCCATCACAGATATTAATGCCTCTTTCTCACCCATATAAGATAAGTAACACTCCTGTGTGACTTGCAACTACAGTCACTCTTCAAGATGTCTCAATTTTTGGCAACACATGAAGGGGATCACAAATACCATCACAACAGAAGCTGCTCTAGTCTTCACTGACACTGAACAGTCAGAGGATCCACTGTGTTGGTAAGAATGCGACACGCTCCTGACTCCTTATCTCTTTTTCTATCAAGAGGAAAGGTTTATCACACTGTGGGCCGAGTGAACAACAGATCCAAAGTCTCAGTAAGGCTGACAGTCAAACAAAGCTATTCTCAGCAGTAAGCATACGACTAAATACTCTAGTGGAGGATTTACACTCATCTCGAAACTAATTGGTACAATCTGCAATTAAACTCAGTTGCACAGTAAGGAACCTCATTACGCTAACAACACTAATTTTAATTTTACATCGAGTAACTGATGTAATACAACTTTATCAAGTAGCCTGCTTCTCAGCCGCTGATCTCCTCTGATACATGCTAAAAAACAGAGCATGTATCATTTATAGAGACTTCCTCTGAAATTTCAACATCTCTAAACTGCACTCAATTTTGTTAGTTTTCATGATTTATATATCATTTTATTCCACTTATTAGTGCAAATCTGGACATCGAGATTTTCTTAATGTCTCTAAACTGTTCACTTCAAAACGAAAAGGAAATATACTCCAGACTGCTTAGGAAGTATTTATTTTAATGATGATGATAAAATAACTGAAATTATAAAATCAGTATGAGAAGTTTTTATTGTGATACTAGACAATAGTTCAACTTTTTCTGAAGGCTTAGTTGATGTTAGGTGCTGTCCCAAGCATTGGGAATAGAGTAATAAGAAATGTCAAAAATAACTGCCTATCAGGCAACCTCCTTCAGTCACTGGAATGGAAGGAACAGGCAAAAGCCAAATAACTGTACAATGCTAAGTCATGTAGTAAGTGCTATGAAGTAAAGGGGACAAAGAAAATGGGATTGCACCAGCAGGATATACTGTGAACTCAATTAGAATTACAGGAGCAGTCTGCAGGTGGGTGACAATGAAACGTAAAAAAAAAAAAAAAATGACATTCATAAGATTCTGCACTGAGTATTTATTACCAATACTTCTTACCAAAGAAGTCCCTCAGCACTTTACATCTCTATCCTTTTCAAAAATGAAGATAAACTATTATGGAGTAGCTTGAGCTTTCTTAAGCCATCTGTGAGTGATGGTGACCCTTTCCCTGCCTAACAGGCATGTAAGACAAAGTTAATGGTGGGATGAAAAGTGTCTTCTAAGTGTCCAAGATCATAGCAAAGAATTCCTTCCCAGGTAAGGCCAGTCAGTCAGAAACAGACCCGCCCAGCATCTAAAACTGAGGGATTGCAAAGCACTCTGAAGGCAAGGAAGAGCAGCTGTGGAAATTACTGGCACTACTCCTTTGCTTGCTCTCACGAAACACGTTGTTGACCACCATGGCAAGACACTCTCATCTGGCGCTGGAGTAACAGTACAGCAGGTATTGCTTGCTTCACATGCAGCCTCCCCAGGTTTGATTCCTGGCGCCCTATATGGTGCCTTGAGCCATGTCACATATGCCCCCAGAAGTGATCCTGGAGGAGAGAGCTAGAAGACCTGAGCACCGCCAGGTGTGCCACCTTCTCCTACCAAAATATCTGTAAAAACAAAATTAGAACGCTCAGAAGCAACTATGAGTTACTAGCACCAAGTATCTCAGTTTTCTGTGAGTGCAGCATTTCTTTCTGAAGATGCAGATTTGGGCCGGAGTGATAGTACAGTGGAAAGGGTGTTAGCCTTGCACGCGGCCAACCTAGATGCAATCCCTGGCATCCCATACGGTCCCCCAAGCATGGTCAGGAGTAATTCCTGAGTGCAGAGCCAGGAATAACCTCTGAGTATCGCTGGGTGTGACCCAAAAAGCAAATAAATAAATAAATAAAGATGCAGAGTTGAAGAAATTTCCATATTAACTATTAACACTGAAGGGAACTGCCTAGGGCATCGCAGAGAACTGCTTTGCTTATTTAAAAAAGGGACTTTTGAGCAGCAGAGTCTGTAACACTTGGACTGTATGTCAGAAACTAAATATGTACAGGATCTTACCTCTCCTTCATCAGTAAATGTTATTTTCTTATTCACTTTAAAATTTCTCTTCATTACTTTTTTTGCTTCTGCAACCTTGGTCACTTTTTTCTTGACTTTGGATTTAGAAGTTTCTTTCTTCTGCAATGAATAAACAAACAAAAACTGTGATTAAGTAAACAGCTACTTTACATTAACGAGTGAGCTTTGGCATACACTTCCAAAACTGAGCCACAGTCACATTTTACTGATATGATTAAAAATATGTCCAAAAATAAAATGAATAGACAGTTCAGCTAATGCCCCTTCTACACGACTTTACAATAGAAAACTCTCAGGTGGGGGGAGGGAAGGGGCACGGCTGGAGGGAAACTGGTTCTGGGAAATGTACTCTGGTGAAGGAATGAGCATTGGCACATTATGTGACTGAAACCCAAACAAGTTTGTAACCATGTATCTCACTGTAATTCAATTAAAAACAAATGAAAATTTAAAAAAAAAACATAAATAACCGTAAATTTTTCTTTTATTACTATTATTATGCTATTTTGATAATGATGGGGCTGGAGCAAGAGCACAGCATAGCACAGCGGGTAGGGCGTTTGCCTTGCATGCGGCCAACCCGGGTTTGATTCCTCCATCCCTCTCGGAGTGCCCAGCAAGCTATCGAAAGTATCCCTCCCGCATGGCACAGCCTGGCAAACTCCTCGTGGCGTATTCGATATGCCAAAAACAGTAACAACAAGTCTCACAATGGAGACGTCACTGCCCACTTGAGCAAATCGAGAAACAATGGAAGGACAGTGCTACAGACAGTGCTATTTTTCCAACTACCAGACTTTTGGGGGGAATATCCAGCAATGTTCAAAACATACTCCTGGCTCTGTGCTCAGCAATCACTCCTGGCAATGCTTGGGAGAACATACTGGTGCCGGGAATTGTATCAGGGTTCAAACTCCTTAACCTCTGTATTAGCTCTCCAGATCCACTACTAGACATTTTAAAATATATATTTATTTTAAGATGCAGGTTTTATTTTTCTTGAAAGTTTCAACATTGCCACATGGATTAGGGGAAAATACTCATTACCTCATTACTACTTTATATTTCTATTCATTAAATCATGCCCCAAAAAAGTATGTCTATTGATAGGAAAGAGTCCTATTTTAGCTACAAGACTCCATTATAGGAACAAGAACAAAATTTGTGACAGCCATAAAATACACTGAAAGATTTGCTGACAAGATGTAAAACACCAAAATGCAATTTTCTTTTCTATTTGTGCTTCTTCCACAGCATGCATGCTAGACTTTAAATTAAAATGCTAAAAGAAAAATATCATAAAATACAAAATTGATAAAACAGAAAGTTATTCTCAAGGTCCTATACTCTTGTAGGAGATTGCTACAAATAACTTGGAATTTACAGGAACAGCTATAAAAATAGCAATGGTTCCTTTCAGAAAAACCATGTTAGTTAAAAAGATTCAAATCAATGGGGAAAAAAATTACTCCTTAAGTATAAGCATCACTAGTAGAAATCCTAGAGGATAACATAAAAATATCTTTGTAACATAGGAAGGTAGAGGCTCAAATTAAAGGAAAAAATACTTCAAGAATCAGAATTTTCTGCTTCCTAAAAGTACCTCCCACGTGTCACTGAATAATTAATAGTTTATAATAGTAACGATAGTACAGCGGTAGGGCGTTTGTCTTGTGTGTGGCCGGCCCAGCCGGGCTGGGTTCGATTCCTCTGCCCCTCTCGGAGAGCCCGGCAAGCTACCGAGAGTATCTCGCCTGCACAGCAAAGCCTGGCAAGCTCCCCGTGACGTATTCGATATGCCAAACACAGTAACAAGTCTCACGATGGAGATGTTACTGGGCCCGCTCGAGCAAATCGATGAACAACGGGAGGACAGTGCTACAGTGCTACATAATAGTAAATGAAGGAAACCAACAAAATAAAGAACTTTGCTGTAGACTTTGAAAGTATCTATAATAGACTAAGCCCTTAGGTCAAATATGAGCAGTTCATAGCATTTGTAAATCCGGATGTCCAGAAGTTCAAATGTTCCTAACTTCAAACCATTGCCCAAATAACCTATTTTATAAGATCTTTTCTTAAAAGAGCAAAACTGCCTGCTACGCAAGGATAATTTCTAAGTTCTCATAAACTTACTGAGCTATAATAATTCACATGTTCTAACTTTATAATATTAAGGACGCACTATTTGATATTTGGCATTAAAGGCTTCTACAGAATCTTTTCCTAACTCTTCATGCCCAGAGCACCACATGGTCCCCAAGCACCCACCAGGTATAGATCCTGAAAATCACCCAGTGTAGCCCCCAGACCAATCAATAAACAAACTACCCTGCTGATAAATAACATAAAGCACCTTTTTAAAGCACTCAAGAGCCAATGGTATGACTTCACTGAAAAAAAAAAAAATCTAAGGGCCAAGTAAATGGCTCACAAGGCCAGAGAGCATACTCAGCATGTGGAGGGCCTGAGTTGTTTAAAGCCCTTGCCTTGCTCGAAAGCCATGGCCCAATCCCACTTCACCACCATAAAAAAATAAAAAATAAAAAAGGAATGAGTCAAACTTGATAAATTTATAAATTAGTCAAGGTCAAGAAATTTAGACCTGTATTAGGAGTAGCAGTTCCTATGACTATAGAGGTAACAATGGTTGATATTAAATGCTGCAGGATTACAGGTTCATGTTACCACTCCATGCCTCTCGCCTATTAACATCCAGTGCAGTTCAGCGGACCCCTCCACCTTTTGTCCACACCTCCCTCCCTCCCTCTACCCCACGCTCCCTCTATCTCCCCCTCTCTCTCGCTCCCCATAATCCAAAATTTGTTTGGGTTTGGTTGTTCTGAAGTGATGCAAATACTTTACATTAAATGATAATGACAAAATATGAAATATTCATGATTCGTTTTAAAAGCCTCTGAACAGGTTAACATAAATGGAAAAGTAGACAATGAAATATTGCTTGTTATTTTCCTCACTCAGCCCAAAAACTATTTAAGTATGTAATAATCTCAGCTTCGCTGACTTCCTCTGGTTATGCAGGATCCTAAGGCTCAACAACCATTCCATACAGCATGCTTTACTCAGATTCTCCTGTCATTGCCAGAAAGTCCTGATGCTCCTCCGAAATTCCTACCATGCACATCCAGTTACTAGGAATGATTCCTAGAAATTGCTTATTAATAAACTAAGTGTACTACCCTCTTAACTACTCTATGTCTTAACAGAAGAACTGTCCAAGGTCCCAGGATGTGGCTCAGAGTTAGAGTACTTGCATTGCATGAGTAAGGCTACAAATTTAAAAATCCTTGGTATTACCCTATATGCCAGTACAAGTTCCAAGTTCTTCGTATTGCAACCAAGTGTGCAACAGCACAGAAATTGCAGCAATAATGATAAGAAAACAGGAAAGGAGGAAAATAACTCCAATATATCTCCAACAGTCTCTGTTTTTCTCCATTCTAGTCTCCTAATTTCTTATGTAAGCATTCCTCACTAAATCCAATAATTGTGGCAGTGCTTTATGGTGGCTTATTATTTTGCACGGGGGTCTGCCATCCAGAGCTACATCCAGGGCTAGGGGCGATGGCAGTCTTATTTTCCTTTGATTTTTATTTTTTTATCTGTTTTAATTTAAAATTATTATTTGAGGTTCTTTTACAATACTATTAATACTGTTTCTCATTAACATAATTCCAACTCCTTTGAAGTAGCATTTCAGTGTAGAATCTTTTTCATCTCTTTCACAGTTTAAGTAAGATTTAAATTTCTTGTCTTCAACCAAGCATCTTTTTATCACCATTAAAGATGCTAAACTAAGCAGTCCTGTCATCATCATTTAGGCCTCATGCCCAATTGTATATCTACTCAGTCAAATCTATTATTCTTTATTGTCTTAGTAGTATGTTCGATTTATTGTCTCATTTTAAGTAGTATTGTTCGATCTTCGAGGATTCACACTTTTTTAATATCTAGAGAAGAATTTCATGTTCTTCTGCACTACCTTAGGAAATTTTCTTCAGTTCCTTGAAACCGTCTGTGCCTTTTTTGCTTGTTTTACTGCCTAGGAAATATCATTTGCTCCACACCATTCCCCATCCTCCACCCTCCATCCCCCCCCCAAAAAAAGTCATTATAGAAGCAAAATCTCAGATATTTCTCTCTCTTTAATAAAATTATGGAATCAGTCATATTTTGCCTGAGGAATCTAATTTTTAACCTGCCACTTTTAATAAATATTTCTATATTAGGAAGCAGGCAGCTGGAAGCAATTTAGGGAAATGAAGCCTGATTCATTTTTTTTTTTTGCCACTCTTTTTAGATTTTCAGAAATGACAGTATGGATTTCATTTCTAACTTATATCCAAATTGGCTACATCAATTTCTGTTGTGCACGACAAATTCTGGTACTAAAACTTAGAACAATTACAAACTACATACCAAAAAAAAAATTAATATAAAATGGAAAGCAAATTTTTACCACCTGATCATTTTGCTAACAAAATTAAGGGAGACTGACAACACAAGGAAGGTAGTACTGGTGGCAATGAACTAAATTCAAAGACCTGGAATAACATTTACAAAACTTATAAACAGGACACAAAAGCATTCTTCTCCTGAGGAGCTCCTGGACCATCTTTAACCCTACCATCTCCCTTCAAACAATATTAAAGACTCAGATATAATGTACAAACGCTCATTTAATCAAAATTTGTTTGAGCAAAATGAGGTAACATCAAAACAACATTCAACAATCAGTTTAACTGAGAACTCCATAGCTGGCTAGTGTAGCTTCCAGAAAAGCAAATTACTTGTCTATCTGGCTAGTCTGATCTGAATTTTCAAAAATCTATCGATGCAGAAATCTGCTTTATAAAATACCACATAGTGATAGTTGTTCAGTGAGCCACCAATCCAAAGAATTAAATACAAAGGCACATATGCATATGCATCTATATTCTAAATTATAAAACCAGAATCTCTCTGACTTTAGGCTTCACAAAGAATGACAGTGCTAGAAAGATGTATAATAAATTAAAACTGGGCTTGGCACCTGGTTAGCTTTTTTTGTGACATGCTATTTCAAGACATTTAGAGAT